AAATAACTAATTGTCTAGAATTACTCCAGAAAAGTAGCAGCATTCTTCCCTTTATGTGAGGGTGCCTAAGCACTCCTGTGCCTAATGCCTCATTTGCTGTGTGAAACCTATGGCACTGCTGCCTCTCACTGCTATTATTAGGAGTGAGATTTGGTGATGTACCTACTGTACTGCTCACTGTTATACTTCCTGGAGGCTCTGACATGAGGAAGCAAAGGGTTGTCACTAACAAGATGGCCACCTCTACACAGATACACCATGCATAATAAGGCATCAAAGCCTGTAATGGGGAAAAGAACATCTGTAGGGAGACCACAGGCAATATTGATGACTAGTTGACATGTACCTGTTTGGAGAGAACAAGATAAGAAGGGTAGCCGCTGATGCAGTTCCCTTCTAAGAACCCCTGGAATTTGAGACAGGGTCTGCAGATGTGAAAGAAAGGTACGAGTGTTAGGAAGAACCTTGTAGACTAAACCTTGAGAGCTCTGAAATCAAATGAGCAGGGTCAGCTGGTAGCACACCGTGGAAACAGCAGGTTCAGTTAAAAGTGGAGTTGGATCACAAGCCTGTTCCAGTAACAGCTGACAAGGCATCAAATCGTAGGCATGATCAGAGTCAGAAACAAGCAGAGGTTTGCAAAGTGCAAGGCATGTGGTACAAAGGCAATCAGCAGAATCTTGGTCAAAAGTGTAGGCCGAGGTTGGCAATGGAGATGGACAGCAAACACAGCCAGACAAGAGTAATCCAAAAGCAGGTCAGGTGGAAGCCAAGTCAATAACAGGGCCAATATGCATATTGGGGTCAGGAGCACAGGAGCATAGACTGAAAGACCATTCAACAATGATCCAGTGCAGAACTTGGGTTCTTACATGCATCTCAGGCAGTGTGAGGTTCTCAAGGCTCAGGAAGATTTTTCTACCTATTGGTAAATCCCCCTGCAAGTGTATACTAATCTTTCACAATTTTATGTACAGTGCGTGCCCTTGCTGTCAGGTGGGCATTGCAGTGAATGAACACATAAGGATAGCCAGACATCCCACACTTTCTTCTTTTTGGGATATAACTGTAGCACCCCTCTAATTAGCCAGGGCAAGCAAGCTAGGTTTTTCAGTTAGAAGCTGAATAGCACCCTGGTATGAGTCAGCCTGGGATGAGTCAGCCAGGTTACTCTGGGTCAGGGCTGAGGGCTCTGCAGGTCAGTTTCCTGATATCTCCCTCTGATCTAGAAGCTTGAGAAGTTTCTAGAACTGATTGGGTTGGGGCGAGGAGGTGGTGATCTGCATACTCAAGGAATTTTGACCAAGCCCCAAGGAGGAAGCTTGTATTGGGGTTAGAACAGCCCTTAAGTATGAGAGAGCCTGATGGTCAATGTTGGGTGGAGAATGATGTTACAAGGGTGGAGTGTGGAGCCTGGGAGGGGGTCCAGAGAGGAGCTTACCTGCAGGCAGGAGCTGGAAGGGATGATCCCTCAGCCTCAACTGTCCCCTGAGAGAGGACAGCCTGGGAAGCAGGGAGGAGCCAGCCCAGCATAAGGCCTGAAGGCCACCATTGACCCATAAGCTTGCAGGAGAGGACTGAAGGAGTAATCCCACACCCCCTGGGCTAGATAAAGAGAGAGAGGGGAGTGAGGTGGCCAACCCAAATAGATCCTCATCTGGAGTGTCAGTTTCTGGGTCACCTTGCCCAGGGATTCCCTCAGTCAGCTGAGTGAAGAAGAGATTTCATCTGGGTCTGAGGTGGTACACCAGGAGAGCTGGAGAGACTAAGAAGAGAATCTTGGTCTGTGGACTTGTACATAATTGCTAAGGAGTTGTCCTCAATTTGTAGTTTCCTTGGGCATCCCATACACCCCTCAACCCTATCCAAATTCAATACCCCTTATTAAAACCAAAAAAAACAAGCTTAAGGACTATTTACAGTCTCCAGTGTACAAGGTCTGAAGAAAATGTGCGTTGCCTGGCTGTGCAGGATTATAGGGGGACCCAAAACTCAGCAACTGCTAAGGGGGTAGTGCTACATAATGTTTCTATTTGTGGTCCAACTCAGGCCCCTTGCAGAGCCAACTTAAAATTTTACTCTTGCCTCATGACAGATGTTGCTTGAGTTTAAGGATGTTCCTTCAACCTGTAGATGTCTGGAAGTGGAAGGTATTTGAAAAAATTGATAACATAAAGTCTTTCTTTCATTTCAGCTCAGACCATTCCAACCATTAAAAATTTAGGCTGCTTCAATGATTTTAAAGAGAAAATGTTTTGTTTTTGGGAAATTGTTGGTTCAAGCAGCAATTGCAGTGAAGATTTTACCTTAACATATGTAAACTTTCAAAAAACGTAAGTTCATAGTGAAGCTCTTCTTTTACATATAAGAAAAAAATGAATTATAATCACAGATATACATTTCTATAAACATATTTGAATACAAAATTGTTAAATAAGCAATTTAAAAGGGCTTGTTCACACATGTGGTCAAGGAGGGCAGTAAAAACAGGTGGTTGAGCCCCGGTTTAAAATCCCCTCATCCACCCATCTAAAGAAGGGATGCAGCTGCTCAGATCTGTACACATGCCGCAGCACAAATTATACCACGTCACATTTGGCGGGCGATATACTGTGGGGAGTAAGCTGTGTGTGCTTAAGCACAGATCTCACTGGTAGTGGGGATACTAAGGAATGTGCTGTACATGCTGCGGTACCAATTTCACAGGTGGAATGGACACTAGAGAGTGAGCTGCACATATTGGGGTGAAGGTTTAACTGGTGGTGTGGATATTGGAGAGTAAGCTGTGTGTGCTAGCGTGCAGATCTCTTTGGCAGTGTGGATATTAGTAAGTTGCCAACCATCAGTATTTTTACTGGCAGCCAGTAAAAGGCACTTGTCATCTGCCAGTAAATGCCTGTAACAGGAAAAGTTTGCCAGTTCAAAATATGACTGTGACGCTCGGCTCGGAACTGTACATGTTCAGTTCTGGTCTGTTGCTAGCCGAGACCAACTGAGCGCCTGCTACAATGCGGTGCCAGCAGGGGGAAGGCAATGCCGAGCATGGTGCAAGGGAGCCGTGGGGGAGTTGCTGAAGCCACATGTGCAGGACTTGAGCAGGGCAAGCCGAGAACGGGGCTGTTAGTGCCCTTTGGACTGGAGTGGACTAGAGGGACCACCTGGCGTGGAGAGAGACTGTTACTGTGACTCAGGAGGGAACATGTCATATCTGAGAGGTGTCATCATCATCTGTGCTGCTGCACACTGCTGTCAGTGTGCAGCAGCACAGTCAATTTCATGTGTGTGTGTGCCTGCCTATTCTAATTTATTGCCCTCCTTAGTCCTGTCCCTGAGCTACTATATTGAAACTAAAATAAGAAATATGTTTTTTACCTTAATATCTACCTTAAATCACATTGCTAATTGCATAATGTACTTGTTTGTAGCCTAAATACTGAAATTTGCACTTAAAACTGTAATTTTTTACTTTTAGAAATGCCAGTAAAAACTTGGCTGTGCTATTAAAATTTGGGTGTTGTGTCAGTAAATTTCAACCATGTAGATTGGCAACACTGATACTAGTGTAGCGCAGACCCAGGACTGGTCTGGCTATTTGGCCCCAGGTTCTATTCCCTGATAGGCACATGACAGCCAGGCACACAATAGTTCACAGTCACTCAAGTCAGTCTTTTTGGAGTTTTTATTTGCTGATTAAATCTTGGATGGAGTAAGGGTGAGCCTTAGGATATGCCAAAAATGTCTAACTAGTGTAACAACCTCCTAGTTAGCTAGGGGGAGCTAGAGTCCTGATTGTTAGAGAGAAGGGCTGAGTAGCAGCCTAGGTGTAATAGTCAGGAGGTCAAATTATGGTCAGAACTGAGAGGCTCTGCAGGCCAGCCCCTCTAGAATTTTCCCCTGCTCTAGAGCTTTGGAAGAAGGTCTAGAAGCAGTGGGTGGATCTGAGGAGTGGCTGGCTTGTACACTTGAGGGATCCTGGTCAGTCTCCAACAGGAGGCTTGGCAAGGGGCCAGGACAACCCTTAAAAGTAAGTGAGCCTGCTCAGCAGCAAGAGAGTTCGGGTGGAAGACAGAGAGGAAGATTTTAGACTGAAGGCAGAAGCCTGGGAGAGGGCCCAGATTGAGAGAGGGTCTCACCTAAAGGCAGTGGAGCTGGGAAGGTGGAAAACTTGAGACTTTACCGGTCCCCTGAGAGAGGACCACCCATGTGGTAGGTAAGGATCAGCCCAACTAGAAGGCCTGGTAGCAGCCACCAACCCACCATCCGCATGGGAGAAGGACTGAATGAGTAGACCTGCACCCTCTGGGCTAAATATGGGAAGGAGCACTCTGGTGGGAAACCAGATTTGCCACCTACTGAACTGTCTAATCTTTTAAAGGGACAGGCACCGGATCCCCTGCTCAGGGATACCTCCAGCTGGGTAGAGGAAGAGGAGTTTATCTGGGGTCTGGGGTGGTACATTAGAAGACGCTGGCTAACTCTCAAGCAGAGACTGATTTTGCAGTGGAGGCTTGTAAATAGTTCCAGGAAGTTGTCCTCAGTTTATCGGTTCCATTGTGAATCCTGTACACCCCTAACCCTATCCTCATTCAAATCCCTTAATAAAAATAACAAAACAAAGCTCGAGGACTGATCTCTGACTGAGCACAGATCTCTCTGGGAAGTAAGCAATGCATGTGTAGAAACCAGATACTAGGCAGAAAAGAACGTGGGTGGTGAGGATGTCATCTGTAATGTGGAGCATGCTCCTAACAAGTGGAAAAATAATCCAGTTAAAAAACAATAGTTACAGGACATTAAAATAAAAAAAACTTTGATTAACTCTTCTACTAAAGTAAGTTGTGGAATACATTTATTTAATTTTAGCCACAAAAACTTCTTCATTTTGGATTTATGTCTTTTCAGCAAAGAAACATGCCCTGACCTGCAAAATGAGCAGCTGGATGGTTCTGCAGTGCCTAATAAATGTATATGCAATATTGCTCGGCCTTTTTTTTATATCTGGTGAATTCTATGAAATAGAAGTGAAATCACATGGACAACCAGTGGGCAATACAAAAATTGACATTAACTCCACAGGTAAGTAAGAACTGTTGGGGCTCTGGGTGGAGTCCAGAAAGATAATAAAAACATTTATACAAAAGCTGCATACTCTGACAGATATAATCATCGTACAATCTTTTATGTCACCAAATATATCAACATCATGTCGTACATGCAGTTTTTAACTTATAAGATTCTCAAAATTGCATAACAAAGGAAATCACTTGTTCATGTTATTGGAGAAGCACTAGTAGACTGATTATATATGGGTGTACCTAAAAGGCAACTCCATCCAAAACTGTTATATCACCATAGCAGTGCACACAGGGTGTGCCAGCACAGAATCCTCCTGCTGCCGCTGATCTACTGACACAAATGTCTGCCCTACTGACCCATCCACTGCAATACTAACACCATTCACAACCCTTCTGACTCCATCCACTGCTCTTCTGACACCATCCACAACCCTTCTCACTCTGTCCACTGCCCTACTGACACCATCCACAACCCTACTGGCACCACCCATTGCCCTACTGACACTGTCCGCAGCTCTACTGACACCATCCACAAGCCTACTGACTCAATCCACTGCCATACTGACACCGTTGACTGCTGTACTGGCACTGTCCATGTTTTAATACATTTTTAAAAATGTGTTTATATTTATTTATGAGTATATATATATATATATATATATATATATATATATATATATACACACTCTTATAAATAAATATATATATATACACAATGCCTTAAAAAAGTATTCATACCCCTTATAATTTTCAACATTTTGTCACGTTATAACCGAAAATGTAAATGTATTTTATTGGGATTCTATGTGATAGACCAATACACAGTGGCACATAATTGTGAAGTGGAAGGAAAATGATAAATGGTTTTCAAAAGTTTTTACAAATAAATATCTGGAAAGTGTGGCATACATTTGTATTCAGCCCCTCTTAGTCAATACTTTGTAGAACTAACTTTCACTGCAAATACATCTGCAAGTCGGGGATGTCTCTACCAGCTTTGCACATCTAGAGAGTGATATTTTTGCCCATCCTTCTTTGCAAAATAGCTCAAGCTCTGTCAGATTGAATGGAGAGCAGTTCTGACCAGCAATTTTCAAGTCTTGCCACAGATTCTTAATTGGATTTAGGTCTGGACTTTGACTGGGCTATTCTAACACAAGAATTTGCTTTGATCTAAACCATTCCATTGTAGCTCTGGCTGTATGTTTAGGGTTGTTGTCCTGCTGGAAAGTGAACCTCCACCCCAGTCTTTTGCAGCATCCCCACAACATGATGCTGCCACCACCATGGTTCACGGTGGGAATGGTGTGTTCAGGGTGATACGCAGTGTTAGTTTTTCACCACACATAGCATTTTACTTTAAGGCCAAAAAGTTCAATTTTGGTCTCACCTGACCAGAGCACCTTCTTTCACATGTTTGCTGTGTCCCCAACATGGCTTCTCACAACCTGCAAACAGGACTTCTTATGGCTTTCTTTCAACAATGGCTTTCTTCTTGCCACTCTTCCATAAAGGGCAGATTTGTGGAGTGCACGACTAATAGTTGTCCTGTGGACAGATTCCCCCACCAAAGCTGTGGATCTCTACAGCTCCTCCAGAGTTACCATGGGCCTCATGGCTGCTTCTCTTACAGGTGGACTCTATTTACTAATTGGGTGACTTCTGAAGGCAATTGATTCCACTAGATTTTCATTATTGGTATCAGAGTAAAGGGGGCTGAATACAAATGTACATTACACTTTTCAGATATTTATTTGTAAAAAATGTTGAAAACTATTTATCATTTTCCTTACGCTTCACAATTATGTGCCACATTGTGTTGGCCTATCACATAAAATCCCAATAAAATACATTTACATTTTTGGTTGTAACATGACAAAATGTGGAAAATTTCAAGGGGTATGAATACTTTTTCAAGGCACTGTATATACACATACACACGCATGTGCGTTTGAACTTTGGGGTACACATTCTAAAGCAATAGGCTGTGCACATCTACGTATATCACCCTTGTTAGCCAGTACTGGGAAGTCATGTAGATACCGTATATAGATTCTCCTAGAGATATAACAAATAAATTTCCTTCAGCTGGCCATAACCCTGCAAATTGAAAATATCCTTTAAGGTGGAGTTTACCTTAAAAGTGACAGTCCACCTCAAAAAATGTTATCACATTTGCGGTCTTATATTAATAAATGCTTAAAGGGTAAAAGGTCTTTAGGCAGCCTCATGAAGTCCTTGGCTGCCTTGCAAACAGTATATAAGTGTTGTAAACCTCAGACATAAAATATGGACAAAGAATATCCCTGTATAGTGTGTACTTGTCTCAATCCGGAGCATTAAGTGCCATTTCTCTCTGCTGCTTCGTTTCTCTGCCATTAGTATGAGTCACTTCTGATGAGTTTTCCTGACACCAAGAGAAAAACAGTGACAGGGGAGGACATGGTCTTCCATTGATGGCTCTGTTCCTGTGTGCTGTATAAAGGGTGTGTGTGTCTCTTCCCTCCAATCAGCTATCAGAGCTTTCTTCATTGATGCAACTTCAGCTCCCCACCCCGTTTTTCAGAGCTGAAAGATCCGATGTAACTTCTGCACTTTAAATGGATGTAGGGTAAAGATGGCTGTAGATAGACAGGTACAACTTATGTAGGAGGATTTGTTTTATCTCTGTGTATCACCTGAGGCCAGTCACTTCACTGGGTATATGTGAGGGTTTACAACCACTTTAAGGGCCAGACCCTTCTGATACCCTGCGTCTATTTTGTGTGACCTGCTTGTCTTCAGAAGCTACACAAGTAGACAGGGTCTACCTTGGCCTGGACATTTTTTCTAGAAGGCAGCCCCAGGTGGACCCCACCATTTATCCACAACCTTTTGACTTTGCTGGGTGCATGTAAAAGGGGCAGAAAGGAGTGGCTGCTAGTAGTACTGCATGCCATGCAGTGCAACAGACCTGCTTCTAAGTAAATATTACATAACTACAGTATACTGTTTTTCAAGCCAACCAAAGATTCATTGAGGGCTGTTTCTTCATTTGTACAGTTGCACTTTAACCTCCCTAACGGTATTCCCGAGTGTAGCTCGGGGTAAAATGTCAGTACCAAAAGCGGTAACCCCGAGCTACACTCGGGCTTACCATGCGGCGCTGCATAGGGAGTCCCTGCAGCACTTACCTTGTCCTTTGCTCCCACGATGTGTCCCCTGCAGCGTCCCCGGCCATCTCCTCCGGCTGATGCCGGCATCCGGCTCCTGTGTTCCGGTCCCTCTGACGTCGGGACGTACGGGTGCCACCGGCGGCGGGAAATTTGAAAATTTAAAAAAAATGTAATTTTTTTCAAAACGATTTTACATAGTAAAACATTGCTGTTTCAACCCATTTCACATACATTTTGTCCCTAGTGCTCTGTCCTGTCCCCTGTCTGCATTTTTGAATGTTCTTTCTGAATGGAAACTTAGAAAAGTCCATGGCGTCCAAAAAGCGTCCCTTTAGGTCAAAATCGGGTTTAGATCAGCTAGAGAACAGCGATAGTAAATCAGAACCACTTGCAGAATTGAGTGATAATGATTCGTGGGGAAATTCGTCATCAGACACTGAAAACAATTTCGCGACTTTGCTCAGCGATGTGCGAACTTGGTGCTATATTTCAAATTTCAGTGTTTTTGGTTTGATTATATTATTGAATTAAATGTATTATTATAATATTATTATTTTTTATGATTATTTATTAAATTATAATTTATGATTTCGTGTTTCAAATTTTATCATACCCGGGATGTTTACTAGACTCTTGTTCGGACAGATTTCAGTGAGTTATTCCTAAATATTACAGCCTACAATAAAAAAACTACATATTTCCATGCAAAATAATGGTACTGCTTTCAGCACCAAAAATCTGAAATTATCATACTGCTAGGGAGGTTAAAGAAAACTGTATTGAAAGAACAATGAATGCTGCCATTGTTAACCTCTTCTAAAAACTCCAAATGTTTTCATCTTTTCTGTGCAGGATCACTTTAACCACAAACTGACCATACTTGAAAAACAACTGCAATACTGCTAATCTTATCTTTGTGCTGTATCTACTTCCTCTGTAACTTGTTTCTGTGGAAACAATAGTATTTATTGTATGTTTTGCACAGTTAAACCAAGGGCTCCATCAAATGTCCAAGTTGAATTTCAAGAGGAAGTGAACGGTCTAGTGCAATGGAATATCGGTTATGAGGGCAACTTTATCAAAACCAAGCTGTCCTTTCATGTACAGATCCTCTTCAAGCATGGCAGAGAAGTGGTAAAATTATATTTTTTTTGTTTTCTTGTGCACATTGCAATCACATAGAACTGACCACAGAAGTTGAACTGCCTTTTCTTTTTTTTTTTTTTGGCTCCGCCGTCTTCTTTAATGTGATCCTGCCACCAGACTATTTATTTCAACAAAAACTTTCCATAAGATAATATGTACTTTTAACATATTTTAGACATGTCATTTACCTGTAAAAGCCTCACTTGTGTAAACATCCAAATGGTCTGCTGCTGGGTGCCACCATTTCTGATGTGATATCAGCAGCCCCCGCAGTTCCAGAGCTGGTCTAGATCTAGAGCAGGGGTCTCCAAACTTTTCAAATAAAGGGCTGGTTCACTGTCCTTCAAACTTTAGGAGGGCCGGACTATGACTAGTGAGGGTAGAGAATGTCCTAGACCCAGCATCAGTGAACATAAACATGTGGTACTATTCCTCCCATTAATACCCATCATTGGTATTCATGGGAGGAATAATGCCCCATCATTGGTAACATTGTAAGAAATAGTGTCCCTCTGTTGGTGTCAGTGGGAGGAATAGTACCTCATTTCATTGGGAGGAATAGTGCCCCAAGGGCCGGATAAAGACTAGCAAAGGGTCACATCCGGCCCTTGGGCCGCAGTTTGGAGACCCCTGATCTGGAGTATGGAAGTAGCTTCTGCTTTTACTTTTAGACAACAACATGGATGAGCACTAAAATTGTTTCATTTTATGTTTTATGACCTTGTGTAGCACCCTCCTAGATAGGTGCTAGGTTTAGATAGATAGATTTAGTGTGTGTTTTGATAGGTAAATTTAGGTGTCACACTGTAGACAATGTGCTTGCAATTGCTGTGTTCTGCTAGGTAGGTCTGCTCAGTGTGTTCAACTACTGCCAGCCTGATAGCACCCTCTGCATTCAGAAAGCTTGAGAAGCTTCTGGATTATAGGGTATAGGTTATGCAGATGGCAACATGAATGTTAATACAACCCTGGCCTATCCTAAAGAGAAAAGCTTTGAAGGCATGTTGTGTAACTGTATTTTGTGAGCACACTGGGCTCTGGGTCTTTCCTGTATAGGATTGTTCCAGCCTGGGGAGGGCACACTGTCTTCCCAGGAAATGCTGCTGGATCTACTGCTGTACACCTCAGGTGGGTGACCTGAGGGCTTGAATGCCAGGACCCAGGTTTTGCTAAAGCTAACTGAAGGGTTGTCTACTGAAGATCTGGTCTGGTATCACAGGGGAAGGCAACCTGCTGTTCTTGGGCCTTGTGAGTACAGACACCTCTGAAAAGCTCATAGAGACTGTGTGCTGCTTATCCCCTTCTGGTGCTATGGAGTCAGCTGCAGGTCTAGCTAAGGGGGACACTGGCTGGCGTTCCGAAGCTTTGTCCACTTAATCTCCTACCTAAAGGGACTGTGCTCTAGTTGCTACTACTACTACTACTGCCTTAAAGCTGAAGTCTACTGCTTGTTTCAAGCACAGACTTTGTAATAGTTTAACTGAAAGAATACATCAAGTCCTCAACTATACATAGTTTCTGTTTTTGGAATATCCCACCTAATCCCTCACCCCTATCCAACTTTTTCAAAAATAAAAAACAACAAAAACAACACCCCTAGACTGCTTATTGGAGAACCGTGTGAATGAGCCTATGTGCCTGGCTGCAGGGCAAAACTTTTGGGAAAGACCTGAACAGTACTCCTGCAGCTGATACGGAGTAGCCCTACACTTGTATAATAATAAAAGTAATTATTTTTATTATTTAAAGCTGAACTCCAAGGAAAGAAAAAAATCATCCCTTGCACTGGGGATACCCTGGCAATGCAAAGGTTAAATGCTTGTTTAGGTCTAGAGGACATGAAAAAGCACTTTTACTTACCTGTTACTCTGCTCCCTCAGATTATCTCTGCACTTCTTGATCGGTCCCCACAGGCTTTTTCCCCTTATGTTTCTGCAGTTATAGGCCCTCAGACATCATCAATAGAATGCAGAGTCCATAGCCTTGCACTGAAAAAGACGACACCAAGGAACAGTCCCTCACTGGAGGGTTGGGTAGAAGAGGAGAGAGCTGGCTGCTGGGGTAGTAGCAGGGGTGGACTGACAACTCATGGGGCCCCCGGGCAATAGGGGATCATGGGGCCCCTGTGTCCTTGCCCAAACTCAAAAAAGCCTATGAAAAAGGTACCAGTGGCATCTCATGGGGCCCCCTACTGACCCTGGGCCCTCGGGCAGTGCCCGAGTTTCCAAATGGTCAGTCCGCCCCTGGGTAGTAGAGATCTTGGTAAATAAAACTGATTTTTCAAGCCCCTAGACCTAAATGAATATTTTACCTTTGCGGTGGTAGTGGTGGGGGGCATCCCTGCTATAATGGAGTATTTTTACATTCCCCAGAGATAGGCTTCAATGTAGAAGTCTGCAAATAGTTACCTCCCGTTAATTCATCCAGGTGACAGTTTTTAGCTGCCATGATTGGCCCCTGCGGGATAATGCGGCAGTTCAGTTATCCCAGCAGCATGCCAAAAATGTAAACTGATCTGCATATTTGCTTCATCTGTTTGCATCTGGAAGGTCCTTTTCATATATATAGACAAACATTTATGTGACTGGTTCAATCTGTTCTGCCAGGCAAAAGAGGATTGGCTTAGACGACTGGAGCCCCGATATCAATTCAGCAAACGGCAACTGAAACGAGGGGAAGAATATGTAGTGAGGGTCAGGTCAAAGCCAGCAGAAAACCTAGGATTCCAAGGAAGTTGGAGCGAATGGAGCTCAGAAGCTAACTGGAAAAACGGTAACATTCTGTGATTGAACCTCTTTAGAGTATTATCTAGAACAGAACCATAAGGCCTCACACACACTGGGAATTTGGCTATCTCTTCTAAAAACCTTTTTCCTGGTAGGAAAAAAGCAACTTAAAAAACACGCCTAAAGTAATGTTTTTTATAAACGTGTTTGGGTACATTTAACTGCGTCAAGCGTTTGGGTGTTTATTCATTTCAGTGGCCAAAATATTTATTCTAACCATTGAAATGAATGAATGCCCAAGAGCTTACTGCCCCTAGCGCGTAAGCATGTTTGGACACATTTATGTGTGTTTTAGGCACACCGGGTGTTTTCTCTGCCTGAACACTGGCTCCTGAATGCGATGGCAGAGGATTTTTATTTCTGCTTCTAAAAGCCTGTAAACGTTCTTTGGTGCATGGACACATAGAATAACAATGAAAGAGCAGCGTTTATAATGCCCTGTGTGCATGAGGCCTTAAAATGATGATGTTGGTTTTACTGAAAACCTTTATGGTTGAACATGAAATTGGATGGCCAAGAGTATAAACAAAATAAAAACACACTGTTGATGACGCATTGGGGGTCATTTACTAAAACTGGTGTAGCCAGTGCAAAATCTGGTGCAGCTCTGCATAGCAGCCAATCAGCTTCCATTTTTTGTTTTGCCAAAGCTTAATAGAACAAGCTGAAGTTAGAAGTTGATTGGCTACCATGCACAGCTACACAAGACTCTGAATGCTCCAGTTTTAGTAAATCTCCCTTAGTCAGTCACTAGCATTACTGCAGTCATTATTTGTTTTTCTCAATCTCCCACCGTAAGATTGTTTTATTACCTGTTCATTCTGCCAATAAAGCTGCTATTTTTTCACTTTTTTTAACAGGGTGACAACTGCTTGTTCTGCAGTAAAAATTGCACAGTAGCATTGTCAGCCTGTGGACAGGGTAGTCTAAGATGGACATGTGTTTTTCATATAGAATTTAAGTAAGTGATACACAAATTAGGCCCACACTAAGATTTTTTTTTTTAAACCTTTTAAAGCCTATTGTTTACTATTGGGACACAGCAGTTGCAAGGACAAAGCCGATGTGGATGCCAATGCTTGTCCCAAACTCACCCTGGGAGCTTTCGGGGCCGTACACCTTCACCCACAAGGATGTCATATTGGGCAGTGTTTGTGTCTGTGAAGCCATTGCATCCCAATGGAAAACAATGGGACTGGTTGCACTGGGATGAACGCAACACCTGTGCATCCTCATGTTGAAAAAACACAACCCTGAATGGGACACAGATGTACAATAATCGTTCCATGTGAACAAGACCTAAAACCACAAAGGTGATGGATATATTTCAATTCAATACAGGACTTTTTAAAATCGTTATCAGTTGTTTGAACATGTAACCATGCTAGAAATGCTAGTCATCCCACTGACACCAATGATGCGCCACTATTCCTCCCTCTGATATAAATAATTGGGAACTATTCCTCCCACTGAAACCAAAACCTTTTCACCGCTGGCCACAGTCTGACCCTCCTAAGGTTTGAAGGGCAGTAAACTGGCCCTTTGTTTATAAAGTTTGAAGACCACTGATTTAGACCATAGCCACAAAAAGGTACCTTACTAATGCCACATTTATTTTACTTATTTATGAAGCCATGACATTATTTTTTTTATTTATTTCAGGTACTTATATAGCGCCGTCAATTTACGCAGCGCTTTACATATATATTATACATTCACATCAGTCCCTAACCCTCAAGGGGTGTACAATCTAAGGTCCCTAACTCACAGTCATACAGACACATACTAGGGCCAATTTAGACAGGAGCCAATTCACCTACCAGCATGTCTTTGGAGATGTCTTTGGACATTATGTTATTTTATTGTGAACATGACCACATCCTAGAAATATAGATAGCGTGTACTCAGGAAGAAATAAAAGGATTATGAGTAGATGAAGCACTGCTGTTATGTGCAAGAGTTGCTCTGAAAATCAGCCTATATAAAATATATAAATATATAAAATAACACTGAAACTGTCAGAAGTGGTAGAAAATTAAATTTTCCTACACTTTTCTATTTAGTACTGTGAACATTAAAACTGTTCTTTTTTTTACAGATTACAGGCTTACCATACTGGATCTGAAGAATGTCATTATCCCAATCACATGTATAATGTCATTAGGCATGATTATTGCGACCTTTGTCTGCCTTTCCAGGTAATCAAAATCATTATTATGTTTATTACTTAACCACGTATTTAGTAAGAGGCATGCTGAGTTTTTTGAAGTTGTGTTTTTTTTTTTTGTCACAATTTTTTGTAAAATGAAGAAATTAAATAGAATTGATTTTTTTTTACATACTGTCACCAGGGCAGTACAGCATCATCATTTGATTGGTTTGGCGGTGATGATCAGGGATACTAACTGGTGACAGTATGTTAAAAAAAATTATTGTAATTTTTTACATTTTTTTTTACACTATGATTGCTTATAACAGTGGTGATCACTGTTATAACCAATCATTTTTATGAATAGCATCCATTTATTGTCAGTGTGTACTATTTTGATAGCTGTGATTGGCCACAGCTATCACATGATACAGATGCACTGTGATTGGCTGTGTCTCTACCAATCCGTGCCTAACCACAGAGATTATCACAATAGTGTACAATGAAAGCCTATGACTGAAATCCATTCATTGTGTACAACTGATATGTGATGGCCTTGACTGGTCACAGCGATTACATGGCTGTTCTGTTAAACAATCTCAGTCATCACACAGATTGACAGCAGGTGATAGATAAAGCCACAATGCAGCTGCTAGAGTGTGCAGGGGGTGTGTGCCTGGAGGATGTCATATGACATCCACCCAGGATAACACTGCTCCCACTCAGCCATTTTTTTTTTCCATAAGCCGGGTGGGAAGTGGTTAAAATGAGCACAGTGGAGTATTAGCCCATTCTGACATGGAGATACCTGGTCAGATTCAGTCATTGTCAGAGGCAGGGTCGGACTGACCATTCAAGCACTTGGGCACTGCCCGAGGGCCTGGGGTCAGTAGGGGGCCCCATGAAATGCCCCTGGTACCTTTTATAGGCTTTTTTGGGCTTTGAGTGTGGGCAAGGACACAGGGACCCCATGATCCCCTATTGCCCAGGGGCCCCATGAGCTGTCAGTCCACCCCTGGTCAGAGGGTTACATTTATAGCACATTGCCCTCTACATAGCTGCCCTTATACAGATCTTAAACCTAATCTAATTTTCTCCAGCTGTACCCTCACTGGTATGACTAGAATCATTCAATTATTTTCTTTGACAATAATGGCATTAATTGAATCAGTCTTAAATTAGAACTATGGCCTCCCATTAAAATGTATTGTTGCAGCAATTAAAGGAGTTTGTTGGCATAGGGGTTAAGTCCAACAAGGTGCTTTCCATTTCCTGTAATGAACTCTTTTATTGACTTTCTTTTTACTGAGAAACACATATGGGCTTCAATGCTTGACCTTCAGGTCTCCAATCCTGTAGCTGCCGAATCGCATGCAGCCGCTCTTCCCCTCTACCCCTCCTCTCCTCTTGACTAGTCATGAAAGAGTTTTTATAAATGACACCATGCACAAAACTCAAAGTATTCTGTGAATGTACAATGGAAGAGCAGCCACCCAATGCAGTTTTCTGTGATGAGGTGGGCAATGATGCCACACTGTCTCTGAATTCAGGCCTGCTTTCCCTACAGTGGGTAGGAAGATGTTTTAGGAGGGTGGATATCAGCATTGTCACAGCTGATTCACAAGCCTGTAGCTTCTCAACGTATGATCTCCTACTATTATGCAGTACTTGGGCATTAAGGGTCTATTGTCACGCTTTTTTTTTTTTCTAATGAAATCGTGGTGGTGCAAAACAAAACACCTAAGGCTAGGTTCACACTGATGCGGTGTGGTATATCGCATGTGATTTGCACAGGATCCGCACCGCATTCCTGTGCAAATTGCATCCGAATTGTGTGCGGTGTGATTGGAGCCATACATTTTGTATGGCTCTAATTGCACCGCACCCGCACCAGAAACATACAGGACCCTTTTTTGGGACCGCACTAGAATCGGATTGCATGGGTATTCACACCTATACGATTCAATTGTGAACATCGCACCTCGTTTTACGGACCGATTTCAGGGTTTTGTTAACTTAACATACACACCCGCATTGGATCGCATGAACGGGGTGAGATTCTGATGCGGTGCGGAATTCGCACAGAAAACGCTGCAAATTCCGCACCGCATCAGTGTGAACCAGGGCTAAGTGTACAAAAACAGTGCATTTAAAAACCAGACAAAAAAGTGCACTTAAGAGTGTGTCTCTAGTCCATCTCCTGAAGAAGTAGAACTCTACCCTGACCCCCCAGGGTGCAAGGCCCCTGACAGAGACAAGACACACTTTGTTTCACCTGGCCCAGGGGTGTCCAAACTTTTTTCAAAGAGGGCCAGATTGGATGAAGTGAACATGGTGGAGGGCCGAACATTTTTCCAAACATTCTTTGAACCATTACAATTAAATGCAAATAAATTATTTTATGCCAAGTTAATTGCAAACGACATACTTTTCATTTCATAACATTAAGATCAATTGACAGCTGAGTTTTCACAAAGTATTGAAAATAAATTAAAAAAAAAAACTTACCTGCACCAATGTGAAGGGTGAAAAAGGTAGCTGGAGCTGAAGTCTCTGCTCGGCAGCCGGGAGGGGAAGAGAAACACACTTCACACTGGAAGCCCGGCCCTGACGTCACCGCCCTCTGTCGCTCCCAGCGCGGCGCAGTCACGCATGCGCACTGCTCTCAAGCAGAAGAGTGTCTGCCACAGAAGGGAGGGCCGTGCGACAGCCACATTTACACAGACCAGGGAGAACGCGCTGCAGTCAGGCATGCGCACTGCCCTCTGCTCTCAAGCAGAAGACTGTCTGCCATAGAAGGGAGGGCCACATTACACAGAGCAGGGAGGGCTGTTGGAGGGCCGTATTAAACCGACCCCCGGGCCGTAAATGGCCCGCGGGCCGGACTTTGGACATGCCTGACCTAGCCAAACCGCCTGGCGGAACCTGTCTTCATGGTTAGCCAAAGCTGACCACGAAGTACTAGGAGTTTAAGGGGGTTCTGTGTCTCCACTGTGGAGCAAGCATGCACAAGTGCCACCATTGCAAGCAGCTTGCTAGGGGGTCACTTGGCAGGGGGGAGGGATCAGAAGCGCTAATGCAGAACCCAAGAAGAGGATGATCAGGGCTGCAATGTGCAAAACCATTGCACAGAGAAGGTAAGTATACCATGTTTGTTATTTTAAAAAAAAAATGGTACCTTTAGGGCTCGTTCACACTACAATGCAGTGCTGGAGAGCCACAGTCCCATTTGGCTTCCTGCACCGCTGGGGGGTTCAGTTAAAAGTTAACACCACCCCAAACACAGGTCACAAACGCATTGCGTTTGCCCAGACTAGCCTGAACCAAATCGCAAGGTAGAAAGTACAATACGATACAGTTTCTGTGCATTTCAAAAATTAGTGCATGCACTACTTTTGGTGCGCTGCGATTTCAGCCCATTCAAATCAAAGAGCTTGAAATTGCACCTTACAGAGCTGCAGATGAATTGCACAGGAATGCACAGTGTGTTCCTGTCTGATTCAGCTCGGGGCATAGTGTGATCCAGCCCTTAGAATCACTTTCACAAATCCCCATGTGATAGCTTTGGGCAGGTGACAGGTACTCTTTATGGAGACATTAGGGGGTCTAATAGACCACAATGTCTCCCCTGTTCTCCTGAGCGACTATCCAAGCAGAGATCTGTGCCACTGGGCAGTAAAGAGAAACAGGGCACAACCTAATGGTTGCTACTACAGTCATCAGCATGTTCTTAGCAGCTTGCTTCATTGGCTGTACTATGCATGTCCAAAAACCTAAGAATAGGTTTAGTCATTTTGTTTTATTTAAGTTTTTGGTACCTTTTGCAGATCTGAGTGTTCTGCGTTCAACTGACCTGTCCAGATCTCTAGTACTAGCTGCACCTAAAAAAGAAGTACACACGTATAAGGGTATTTCAGTATGATGAGCTGTACAATATGTTAAGTGTTACAGATCTGTTTAGTGTGTGCCTTTGTATGCTCTGGGATTTACCTGAATATTTGTTTATTTATTTATGTACTTACGGTATATAGCGCTGTTAATTTAGCAGCGCTTTACATATATATTGTACATTCACATCAGTCCCTAACCCTCAAGGGGCATACAATCTAAGGTCCCTAACTCACATTCATACATACACATACTAGGGACAATTTAGACAGGATCCAATTCACCTACCAGCATGTCTTTTGGAGTGTGAGAGTAAACTGGAGTACCCAGAGGAAACCCACGCAGGCACAGGGAAAGCACGCAAACTCCAGGCAGGTGGTGCCATAGTTGGGATTTGAACCAGTGACCCTAGTACTGCCAGGTGGAAGTGCTAGCCATTTAGCCACTGTGCTGTATTTATAATAGAATTCATACTAGAAAACACCAAATTTACAAATACTATATGCTGTCTGTTATTCACAATACACATGCTTCAAAAGCATTCTTAAATAGACTACCATTATTATTAATTTTATAGTATAGAAGTAGTAGTAGACATTTTATGTTCTTGTGTTTGTATTCAGATGCAAAAAAGAAGTGGTGGAATAATATCCCCAATCCAGCAAAAAGCAAGCTTGCCCAGAGCAGTCTACTACAGGTGAGTTAGGAATAACCAGACGATCAGTTTTATTACAGTGGTACTATAGCCTTTTAGATGTATTAATATATAAATTTGAAAAGATCAACTTTGTACAAATAATCTAATAATTGTGTGATCATTTATGGTTAAGTCGGCCATATGGGGATTGAAATTCGGCCAGTTCAGCATTGGTTGAATGAAATAAAACTGTATCATCTATGGGTTGCTTTAGTAAATTCATATGTGCACAGAGGAAGCCATATTTACTATTTTAGATATAAAATATGCAGGCTACCTGGTCGATCCTTGCTGAACCACTGGTCTCCCAGTAAGGGTCTAAAACAGCAAAAGCTCTGTAGACTACTGTAGAATGATGAAAAACATCCACAATGCTTCTGGTACTCAGAGACCATGTGATTTTTTTGCCTAGTCATCAGGTCCCATGATTGCGATCAGGAGCAAAGATTTTTTTATTCATAAGAAAAAAAAAGGTATTTCTTTTCCAAATGAATAATGTGACATGATAATACTGACTATTTCACATTAAATTTAAAGTAAATGATAGGTCCTCTTTAAATAGTAGACTGTCATTCGCAAGTCAAAAGGAAGATTGTGAGACCTGGAGACCACATTTAGGCTCCATTTGTTCACATGAAAAGTTGCAGCCCATTGTTTTCAATGGCACTTGTTCGGATCTATGCAACTTAAAGTTGCAGCAACTTTGAAAAGGTTCCTGCACTACTTTGATGCGACTTGAAAATCGGGAAACTTTGGAGTCGCACAATTGTGAACTGAGCCTCAAGAACATTTTTTTTTAAATTCACTTTCACTATAAAAATGATAGAACCTTTAAAACTGCTGATTTGTATTTAAATGTTAAAACAAATGACTGTTTTCAAAAAGTGGCAAATGATTTAAACTATGCTAAGCACGGTAACACTGGGAGCATTCTGTACTATGTTCCTGCATAGATTACTGGGTAGCAGGGGCAGACTGACCATTTGGAAACTCAGGCACTGCCCGAGGGCCCGGGGTCAGTAGGGGGCCCCATGAGATGCCCCTGGTACCTTTTTCATAGGCTTTTTTGAGTTTAGGCAAGGACACAGGGGCCCCATGATCCCCTATTGCCCAGGGGCCCCATGAGTTGTCAGTCCGCCCCTGCTGGGTAGGTTCCAGAGATCTCATTACTGCTTATGTATTTTGCTCACTGCTTTTGCCAGAAATGTGCATAGGTTTGCAGGCACAATTTCAAGCCTCCTAGCACTGTCCATAGGTTGACTTCTTTAGTTTTCAGTAAGTTGCAGATTTTCTCTCTGTACATCTGTAATGATCTGTTAAAATTGTCAGCTATCTAGTGCTCTGGATGCAGTTCCCAGCTCTAAATATCCAAATATTCTACCTCTTTACGTCTGGAGGAAAAGAGTGAGGATGCAAATTCCCCCAGAAACCCCCGAAATCACCGCAGGCAGACATTGGGATCACCTGGGGGCCAGCAAAGGGATCGAAAGAAATCAGAAAAATGAATTGTATATTTTATAATATCTGAAAGCAGTTCCAAAAAATCCACCTACCTGAAAGGTATGGGGGGAGAGAAAAAAGAGACAGAAGAGGGACTTCAGAACATCCAGATGGCAAAGAATGCATTCCGCAATTGCATGGATCTTCCTGACTCTGTTATCCCCCACATTAGGGTCTGTAAACAATTATAATGCAATAAAAAAATAAACAACCTGAAAGTATTCATAAATCCAATAAATTAACGCTATATTTATAATATTAGTTCCCCCAATTAATGTATTCAATACTAGAGAGCCATTGGGGCGTCCATGTAAGGGTAAAAGTATTAAACAAAATCCCCAAAAGGTTCAGCAGGGTGGATGACAGGGGGTCAGCAAGGCAGAGAATTAGGTCAGCAGGACATAGGACCGAGGTCAGCAGGGAGGAAAATGAGGTCAGCAGCGCAGTGTGCAGGGATCAGGGGTCTTCAGGAAAGAGGATGGGGTCTACAGGGCAGGTGTCAGTGATGGAGCAGGGGATAGGGGCCAGTGGGGCATAGAACAGGGGCCTGTGGGACATGGGACACAGGATGGGGTCAATGGGCAGAGGACCAGGTCAACAGAGCAGAGAATGGGGTCAGCAGGGCAAAAGATGGGGTCAGCAGGGCACAGGACAGGGGAAAGTAGGGTAAAGCATGGGGTCAGTGGGGCAGGGGATGGGGTCAGCAGGGCAGAGGATGAGGTCAGCAGGGCAGAGGATGGGGTCAGCGGGGCATACGACGGGGTCTGCGGGCCATAGGACATGGTTAGCGAACATTGGACATGGTCAGCGGGACATATGATGGGGTCAGCAGGTCAGAGGATGGGGTCAGTAGGGTATAAGATGGGTCAGTAGGGCAGAGCATGGGGTCAGTAGGGCAGAGGATGGGGTCAGTAGGGTATAAGACGGGTCAGTAGGGCAGAGCATGAGGTCAGTAGGGCAGAGCATGGGGTCAGTGGGCAGGGGATGGGGTCAGTGGGACATAGGATGGGGTCAACGGGGCACAGGACATGGTCAGCGAGCATTGGACATGGTCAGCATAACATAAGATGGGGTCAGCAGGGCAGAGGACGAGATCAGCAGGGTAAAGAACAGGGGTGAGTATGGCAGAGCATGGGGTCAGCGGGCAGGGGATGGGGTCAGTTGGGGATAGAACATGGTCAGCAGGACATAGGATGGGGTCAGCAGGGCAGAGGACGGGGTTAGCAAGGTATAGGACAGGGGTTAGTAGGGAAGAACATGGGGTCAGTGGGGAAGGGGATGGGGCCAGCAGGGCACATTATTGGGTCAGTGGGGCAAAGGATGGGATCAGCAGGGTATATGACAGGGGTCAGTAGGGCAGAGCATGTGGTCAGTGGGGCAAAGGATGGGGTCAGTAGGGCATAGGACAGGGTCAGCAGAGCAGAGAATGAGGTGAATAGGGTATAGGATAGGGGGTCAGTAGTGCAAAGGATGGGGTCACTCAGCAGAGCTGCTCCTTCCCATAGCTGAGGTTGGATTTTTGTACAAACACAGCCTCAATCTGTACAGTGTGTAGCTGGCTGTTTCAGCTGTGAGGAAGAAGCTGAGGATATGAGGATTTCACAGGTCAGAACTGCAACAGCCAAATACACACAGTGCAGATCGAAGTTTTATCTGTACAAGAATCCAGGCTGTGGAGGAGGAGCAGCTCTGCTGCATGTCCTGTGTGAGGCTAAGTACAGTAGGAGAATGGGGGGAGGAACTTACCGATCCTGGCACAGCATCCATGGGGAGGTTAGGGGGCACGCACGACCCCCTAGATCCAGCTTTCCTCAACACCGCTTAAGTGTCAGCTGCGAGCAAGCCAAATGAGGTAGGCGAGAATGGAGACAGGTGGCAAATGAAGTGAAGGACCAGCCGTGCTCCCTCCTATGTTGCCAGCTGCAACTGTCAGATGCCTTTGCTGATGTGTGGGAGGTGGGTGAGCCAAGTTTCTCTCACCTGCGTGCCTTCCCCTGCAGGAGATTGAAACTCTAGTGACAAGGAGGAAGTACGGGAGCATGGGTCCCCCCTGGAGTGTGGGAGAGTTCACCATTGCCCTGTGACCCCTAAAGCTACACCAATGCATTTATTCCCCTGCCAGCTGTTGTATTTAGCAGCTGGTTCTCCAGTGGTTGCATCCGATTATATGCAAGCACTGTTCAGTCGACAGTTTTCGGACTGGCTTCTTTGGCAAAAGTCAATTTAAAAAATCAACTTTTGTTGAGTGAATTTTGTCTATACAGCAAGAAACATCTGAAATTCAAGCAGTGTATGGACATCTTTAGCAGTCTGTTTAGGAAAGTGTAAAAAATCTGGAATGAAGTTTGGTCAAATCTTTAAAATGTATATAACTGACTCAAGGAGGTATTTTTTACCTAAAGTACACTTTACTTTAAAACAGAAAATGAGTTTAGTGTTTTTTTCTTGTCCTCCATTCTAACATAGGTCATTTAGAAAGTTTGGAAACTTCTATTATTCATTTTATTGTCCCGCACTAATAGAAAAAGCTATTCCTGGCAATGTGCTTTATACACTATGGGCCTGATTTATAAAGCAGCAATATAGCCTTATCTTGGTCATTATTATTATACAGTATTTATATAGCGCCAACAGTTCGCTCAGCGCTGTACATTACAATGGGAGACAATACATGAGACAGTACAATAACAATACAATGCGATACACGAGGGGTTCGAGGGCCCTGCTCCTTGGAGCTTACAATCTAGGAGGGAGGGGATAGTGGTACGGGAGGAATAGCTGTGGGGGATGGAGTGGTAGGAAGAGTGGAGGAGATCGGCAATTAGCAGAGGGCGCGGTAGGCTTCCCTGAAGAGGTGGGTTTTCAGGGTGAGCCTAAAGGAGAGGAGAGTAGGTGATAGTCTGATGGATTGGGGTAGGGAGTTCCATAGGATGGGTGATGCCCTGGAGTAGTCCTGGAGGCGGGCATGGGAGGAGGAGACCAGGGAATTAGAGAGAAGGATGTCTTGTGAGGAGCAGAGAGTGCGTTTTGGGTGGTATTTGGATATTAGGTCAGTGATGTAGTTTGGGGCAGAGTTATGGACAGCTTTGTACGTCAGTGTTAGCATTTTGAATTTGATCCGTTGGGTAATCAGAAGCCAGTGGAGGGATTGGCAGAGGGGGGTGGCGGAAACGGAGCGGTTGGTAAGGTGGATGAGTCTGGCCGCCGTATTCAGGATCGACTGAAGCGGGGATAGCCTGTGGTGAGGCAGGCAAGCGAGGAGGGAGTTGCAGTAATCGAGTTGTGATATGATGAGGGAGTGGATGAGTTGCTTAGTAGTTTCTGGGGTTAGGAATGGGAGTATTTTGGTGATGTTGCGGAGGTGGAGCCTGAATGAGTTTGTTAGCGATTGGACTTGGGGCTGGAAGGACAGATTGGAGTCTAGAATGGCACCAAGTACTCTGGCTTGCGGCGTGGGACTGATGGTGGCATTGTTGCTCGTGATGGAGAAGTCGGGGGGGGGGGGGGCGCAGGCTAGGGGGAAAACTAGGAGCTTGGTTTTGGAGAGGTTCAGTTTAAGGAAGTGGAGCGACATCCAATCTAATATGTCGTTCAGTAGGCTAGTGATTCGGGCGGAGACTGAAGGGGTGAGGTGAGGGGTCGAGAGATAGATTTGCGTGTCGTCGGCATAGAGGTGGTAGTTGAAGTCATGTTGCTGCTTTTAAAGAGACTCTGCCTCTGGACCATTCATTTTAACATCAGTTTTCCTACAAAATGATATGTGTCTTAAACATATTATAGGCATGTCATTTATGATTGTAGATGCGCAAGCCTCCCTAGTGTACCATAAAAATCCAAACGCCTGTCCTGGTTGTGATGTCAGCAGACTTAGAGCTGCCACTCAAGTTACACTCTATAGCATTCCCCTTCTTTCCTCCCTTGGCAGCTACTGAAAAGTTTATGCATGGAGGCAATAGGCAGAGAAGATAGACAGTATACAAAGAAAACAAACAGAGGGCACACCGGCCTAGTGCATTATCGTAAACAAAATGTATTGAAATGATAAAAAATAGGTATCGTACTCACAATTTACATTGATGTCAAAGGCACATAACAAACAACAGCACTGTCCAATTCACACTACATGTAAATCCGCAATAGGAACCCTGGGCTTCCAACAGCCTAACGCATTTCGAGGGCTTAGCCTCTTCCTCAGAGCCAATGCCAGGTGTTGGCTCTGAGGAAGAGGCTAAGCCTTCGAAACATGTTAGCCTGTTGAAAGTCCAGGGTTCCCATTGTGGATTTACATGTAGTGTGATTGGACAGTGCTGTTCTTTGTGATGTGCCTTTGACATTTATGTCAGTTGTGAGTATGATACCTTTTTTTTTTATCATTTCAATAAAGGTTTTTTACGATAATGCACTGGGCCGGTGTGTCCTCTTTTTGTTTTCTTTGTATCCAGTGCATTTGGACTACCCTGGTCCATTGAAGGCAGCAAAGAGTGCATATTACAGGACATTCGAGATGTAGCATAGTCGTGAGTCCATCCCCAAGAACAGGAGTATTTGAGCGTGCTGTAACTCAGACAGTAGTTGGACACTCCCAGAAAAGGAGATGGTTGTGACGTGCAGGGGGGGGGGGGAGAAAGGCAGGTGCAGTCTGAATTCTCCACTGCAGGTGGCCCTGGGCTGTAACGGCAATGCAGAGGGGAGAGGAAGTGGAGGTAAACTGATTTTCTCTATGACTTCCTCAGTCACACGGGACAGTGATCTGGTTGGATGCTGGTGGCCATCTTAGGTCAAGCAGAGTCTATTTGAAGACTTTGACCCTGGGTTTTGGCAGGTTTCTTGTGAGTGGCTAGTGTAGGGACAGGTTCCCCATCTGTCAGGGACAGCACTATCAATGGGTAAAGCTTCTGGTGGAGTAGGGGGAGAGCAGGGACTACCTTCTTAGAAAGCTTGTCCTTTGAGTTGGACCGACCAGGCCACACTTGTGCCAGACATTAACGGCAGTATTTAGTCTACATACCACTGTCTCTATACTGCACTGTTGTGAGTGTTCCCAGTTGGGTGAGCCTCCCTACCAGGCCTTGCAGTACTGTTGAATTATTTATACAATATATCATCTTTGGCTAATCGAGACTCTGTGTGGTTACTGCCCGCCCCACCACGATGCACCTTCCCAGCAGGCTTGTGCTAGAAAATGGACCCTTCCTGAATAAATCAAATATTCTAGTACGTTCGAAAGGCAGAATGCAAATGAATAAACAAATACTTGTCTCTGTAGTGCTATACAGAGAACATTTCATAGAGCACTACAGGTTCCACAAAAAAAACAACAAAACAAAAAAGTGTATGAGTATTTGAATTTGCTTTGACCCTTTATTTTTCATGGCAAAATAATGTGTTTTATTTCCTGTTTAGAAACAATCTTTCAATCCAGATGGAAAATCTGCAAAAAAAGTATCTTGGTAAGTCCAAGCTTCCTATTATACAATGCCTTTAAAGCCTATCTCCACCTGTTGCAAAAATAATACATGCACTCATATTTACTGAACAAAATGTGCATTTTTTTTGTATTTTGCATATGAGCCTGTAATGCATTGCAAAAATCTGTGGATCGTGGTGCAATGTACAGGTTCCTATAGACTCTTCCTCGAGCTCTATGTTAATAACAAAGTACGAACTTGTAACTTTTAATATTAGTTTGGTGATCATTGCACTTCTGTACTATTCAGATTTACAAGTCTGTCTGCAGCAGTAGCAGATGGGACTTGTGACTTATTCATATGCAGATGACTGACATGAGGGACATGGCTGTGTGAGCTGAGTAAAACTAAAGGTGACAGCTGTCACGGGGGAGAAGAACCTCCCTTGCTGTCAGGGGGGGTCAGTTTGGGGGTAGTGGAGGGTATGTTTGTAACCATGTTACATGTTAAACTCTAAAAATTTGAATAACTTTAAATTTTGATTTAATTTTTTTTATAGATTAACACACCTCTTTCTCTTCTCAGTGCAAGTTTTATTAGCAGAATCGTCAAAGCTCACAAGTCCAGATGTGACATGCTCACCCAGCAGCAAAATGCCGAAGGCTATGTCAATATCTGTGGAGGTCAGTACTATAAAAAAGTTTTTTTTGAACCTGAGGATGAAGATATTGAGAGATGTGAAATGTTCCTCATAAAGAAAAATGAAAACCCAGCTCAAAAAGACAAAATGGAACTTAAGGTCGAAGATCACCTGTTGGAACTTGGAGACCTGTCTATTGCTAGGATGTTTTTTGATATACTTTGTGATTCATCAGGCATAAACGTAGACACATTTGAATCCTTTAACACAGGGAACTCACTTGGTTGTTCAGGCTGGATGGACAGTTTTGGCAAAAAGGAAATACATAGGTGCAATTCAGATATCTCAGCATATCAGGAATCAGGATATAACAGTTATGGCTTACATGATTCTCCAATTGATTTTTTAGACATAGATAGGCTCAATACCTCATACTTTTGCCAACTGTCTGACATTGAAGGAGACTGTATTCCTAAATCTCCACCAAGTAGTGTCAAGGATAACTGTTTATATCAGAAAGAAGAAGAGCATTCAGAAAGTCCTGGCTATAACAACTTTGCCAATATTCTGTATGCAGGAAAGGATTTCATTATTGATACATCCAAAACCTCTTGTCTGGATAATTTATCAAACATAATGCTTTCCAAAATAAACAGCCACAAAGGCCTTCTTACTAGAAAAGGTAATCTCTATTATAATACAAAATGTTTTTTTTTTCACACGAGGACCGATTTCAATCAATCATAAAACCAAAGCCTGAAGAGGTTTCTGAACTTACATTACAATCCTATAAAATCAACTGTAACCCAACATCTATCTGTCATGTATCCGAATATCAAAGCTTTGATCAAGCTGTTCAAGAAAATGATCCAGAGTTTGGCAACCACATGTCTGGATATAAAGGTTTTGATCAAGCAGTTCTTGAAGGTGAACCAGATTCTGGGTGTCAGGTGTCCGGATACCAAAGCTTTGATCAAGCAGTTCAACAAGGCGATATGACTTCAGTTTTTCAGGTTACTGGATATCAGAGTTTTGACCAAGCAGTTCAGCAAAATGAAACCCCAGGATCAACAAATTGCTCTGTGGTTGAGTCAGAATACAAACCTTTAGAAGATCTTATTTTCCAAAACAGTGACTATTCGGTTAAAGATGTGTCTGAAAATGATAGACAATATAACTTGGGAGATAGTCACTGCCAAAATAATATAGAATATCAACAAACAAAGAAGTTAATTAATGGTACAGATAACAATAACAACAAGGCCATTCACAACAGCCAAAAACATGAACTTTCCTTTGCCTCAACCCAATTATGGTTGGAGAACTTTCTAAATTCAACAACGGAAAAATACCATCCATCTAAAGATTTTTCAGATAAATCTTTTGAGGCTTTAAAGCTAGAAATGGACACTTATCTTGACAATGACCTGGCAATAACACATGAAAATGTTCCTTTGGCATTGACTTTTGACATATGTGAGCATTTGAAGAACTTGAAAATCATGCATGGGCATTGGGTGCCTCGCAACAGCTTAATATTTCCCTGCCATCTTGATGATGTTGAGTTAGTTCAAGAAAAGCTCACAAGTAACAAAAAGCTCACTAGCCAAAAATGCCCTTCAACAAAGTTTGACACTTTTGAGAATTTGTCATATTTCTTTCCTTTCTGTGAGGCCTTGGGTCCAAACCAGCAAACTAGACACTTATTAGTACAGCAAATCAATGTAGATAAAGATGGCAACTCATACATGAAGTTAGCATTACCGTAACACAATGTCAAAGATATTTGGGGATTTCCACTTTTTAGATTAAGAGGACAACCAACTGAAACAAAATGCAGTTATCATTCCATCTAAAATCCTAATCCACCCGGTCAGTTTCTACAGCCTTGGTTTAAGAAAGATAAGGTTTCATCAAGATCAGTGTTTCTGGGTATATCTGTTTTGGCAGCCCTTTTTCATGATATCATAAATATTGGGGCACTAAATGAAAAGAGCATGCTCATTTGGCAAAGTGGATGTTGATTTTGCAAAGTGAACGTTCACAATACTTAGTGAATAAGGTCAAGCAGTGTTCGTTTCGATCGTCCAATTGTATGCAAGCAAAAATCCTGTGTTTTTTTATTTTTCTTTGCACATGAATGGGTTTTCGAGTTACGGTAATGTTTTTTTCTTATTTTTTTTAAATTAAGTGAACATACACTTTGCAGAGGGAGCAGTCACTTTGCTAAGTGAACAGCATTTATATCTTTAGTAGATCAACCCTATTTGTTTCATGAGCATGGACGCATTCAGTCCTTTCATAATGTACATGGTAGCAGGGAAATAAAGGGAGAGAGGTTAGAACTGGTGGTCAACTTGTAAGAAGTGATAACCTCCTTTGATAGCTTTTTATTAGTATATTAAAGAATGTTTATTTTCTATTGATTTTTCTTGAAAACAGCCCTATGAATGTATTGTTAACTGGGCAATGCACAGAATGGGCTTTTCCTAATATAAGCATTGAATGAATCAAGATGTGAAGTTAAATTCAGCCTATGTAGTCTCATACATGGCTGAGGATATAGGTAGAATGTAGAAATGTAACATTCACCTTACCTTGAACATCTGCTGTTCTACTACTTTACACCGACCTTCGGATCCAAAGTACAATAACCCCTAGTAACCAACTAGTGCTCTGGTTTCTGCAGTCAGATGATAAAAAATTAAATCTTAATTAGTTGCTTAAGTTACTTCATATGCAAAAAAAGACTGCATACTGCCCTGCCTAATTTATGTCTACTACACAATTGTTTTTTTAACTTTCAAGCCAGCTTTAAGATCTCACTCCCATGCAGGGGCGGACTGACAACTCATGGGGCCCCCAGGCAATAGGGGATCATGGGGCCCCTGTGTCCATGCCCAAACTCAAAAAAGCCTATGAAAAAGACACCAGGGGTATCTCATGAGGCCCCCTGCTGACCCCGGGCCCTCGGGCAGTGCCCGAGTTTCCAAATGGTCAGTCCGCCCCTGCACCCACTCCTTGTCCTGGCCCTGTCTGGGTCTATACAGATAGATCTGAATTGTTGGCAGGATCTCTACTCTTCTAGTGATCAGTTCTAGGGTCAACTGCCACTTGCAGTCACTTAACTCCCAAATTTGGTCCACCTTGTGTGCCTATGGCTTCTAAATTTGTAGTGTATGCAGAGTACCTGTTCTCTGCTATCAAAATGTAATTGTGGGATGTTGGTACCATAACAGACATGTTTGGGGCGATATGTCCATATATACTAATGAAGTATTTTTTTTTTTAGTGTGATACCAATGTTGGCCAGACAACTGGAGCAGGAAGCCATCCTACATACATGTGTACCTTCTAAATACAGCTCATCATGGGGAAGCATTAATGAAACTCCAGTATGTTTTCACATCTTTTCAATTCATAGTTCTCTTATTTCTAGCTAAGAGCTCATTTAATTATCATATACATATTTTATTTTTTTAGCATTAAAAGGCTGCAAAAATATAATCATGTAACGTTCCTGAAAGAGCCTGCAGGTGCATATTTTGGACAACAATAGGTCAAGAAGTCTTTTTTGCAGACGTTAAAAGGTCATTTCAAGCTCTCTTAGTAACTATATTATTTGTCCTTTCAAATGTATTTGTTAATATTCAAAACCCACAAAGGGAAATCAGCTGTAAATGCAATGCTAACTGCCACGTGGGAACTTTAGATGCAGCTGTAGTGTCGTCTGCACATATTTATATTTCATAGGGACCCAGAATTACTACGTGCCCACATTTGTTCCATTGCAAAAAGAAAAATGTGAACATTTCTGTTTGGGCGCAAATGATTCTTTGACAGAGGCGGAACAAGATGACTGTTACTTCACAAAGTATAGCTGGCCATACACTAGTAGATTTTCGAACAAACTTTTGTACATTCATATAAAAATTTGTCCAAAGATTCTCTGTACATTCGGCTTGACAAATGTCCTTCAAAAGTATTTCATTTGCTTGTAACATATGATTATGGAACAAATGGACTTTACTGAACAAAAACCACTTATACTTTTAGAAATTAACCCATTGGTGCCGGCGCCTCCCGGACCTTCTATGGGTTTCAGAAGCCGGGTGGCAGGGTGGGGTTTAGGGTCATGTGACCACCGTGACATGCCGTCACGGAGGTCACATGATTGGGAAAGGTCCCGATCGAAAGAGGAGATCGGGACCTTTCCGTGAGTACCGGACATGTGTACTGGGAGCGCGCAGGGCGCACGCTCTCAGCACATATGTTTTTCTTAATTGCACACAAATGTGCGGCCCGCTTGGCGTCAAGGCCCAGATGCCGGGAGGCCCGCACATTTGTGTGTGGCTGGCGCCAAGAGGTTAATTTGTTTGAAAAACATTTTCCATCCCGCACTTTAAAAATTTCTGGTCACTGTGGTTGAAAACAAACATCAATTTGATCCCACTAATGATTAACAAGTTGAAGGAACGTTCTTAGATCCTTCCACAAAAAATGAGAAGGGGGCGTCCTTGTTAACCTCCTTGTGAAAATGCTAACTGGAATTTCTCCTCTTAACGCATGCTTCATGAATTATTTTTAAGACTGCGAACACTGTTTTTGACTCATGCACTTTTTTACATCAGCATTCGCTATGTGGCCATAGATCTCTATTAGTTGCCTTTTCTTGCTTTAAAGACTCACATAGCAAAATGCTAATTTCTTGTATAGATGACTGACACTACTAATTGGTGATCAATATAACAAAACTCATCTTTGCAGTTGGATCTGTAGCTATGGTTTGGTTCAAATCCTTTGTGTGGTGTTTGTGTTATTTTTCCCACTCTAATGTTATCAGTCTATTCTCTTCCCTAAAGCTGGCTATGCAATATCATTATATCAACCAGGAAGCTGAACGAAAAAAATGACCAGATTTCCCAAAGCACACATTCACTTCCCCTGTGCTATTGTGTTCTGACAGTAGGGAGCCATCCCCGCCATCAGAACACACTAATCAGTGTTGCTGGCTATAGCCAGTAGTTGTTTTTTTGTAGAACAGATGAAAACTGCAATGAAAAGCTTTGGCAAAGCTAGTGTGAAGAACATCTTATGCATATTGTACTAGTTATTTAGTGTCAATTGTAATGCAAAAGCACTGTACAACATTGTACTTCAATAAAAATTATATTAAAGCCATTTGCAACAGCAAATTATTTTTCAGGAAACCTTCTTACTAAAGACTGATGCTAAGTATATTTTGTTTTTTTAGCATTTAAAATGTTTCTTTGGAAAAGCCTGAAAAAAATAATGTACATGCTGTATATGCCAAGTATTGGTAAAAAATTTAACACAGGTTCTCTGGGATTGTAAAATCATGGGTTCAGCATATTTTGTATCTTGTTTGGGTCAGTTTCTGTTGCATAATACTGTAGTTGCTTTCTCATTCAAAGCAATGGATATTAACTTGATATCTGGTTGTATTTTATGTTTTTAAAATAAAACTTAATTAAAACAAGAGACTATATGAATAATCTGGTACAGCCTTTCTTAACCATTTT